ATCGAATGTCTCTGTCCTCCTCAGACTATCTCTCACAGTGATCTCTCTATTCACTTCCCAATATATATATCTCTCTCTGGATCTGTTTGGGAGATTTCTTCTCCTCAATATATATATACCTGTTCTATTTCTCAAACATTTTTATTCTTTCACAGGAAGCACCTTCCAATGAGGATACTTCATCCACAGCCAAACGCTCTCGTTTAGAGGATAGTCTGTCGGATGGGGCTCAAACGTCCACTACTCCGCACTGGTCGTTCCAGTCGACTCAACCATCTAAAACCCTCCTATCTCCTGCATCGTCAAAAACCACTGAGGGTAACCGTGTGACAATTTGTATAAATCAGGTAAGTCTTGTGACTGGATGAGGTGATTAACTAACCTTTCGATATCCATAGTATACAACAGCATCTTCACTGATATGTTTGTGTTTAGACCGCTATCATTTGTTCCATTTGAAACATATGATTCGCTGAAAGGTATTCATGACCTGTGTGATAAATTTGCTATATCATCCAATTCAGATTAGTAGGCTTCGCGGCGTAGGTCACGTATTGCGTATGTCCAGCTGTCGTCTACCGCACCTCGCCTTATTCTCTGTAGGCGCTCTGGGTTGGAGAAACCTACTTGGTGGTCAACAGATGACGTGGAAACAAGGCATGAAGAAATGCACAGAGTGATTAGGTAGAGTAGGCGTCTCCTGTCTTCCAGGTTGGGGTCTGAAAGACTCCGTAACTGGATGGTTGGAGACACTGAAGGAATGGCAGCGAACCGACAGCAGTGGCGTTTGCGTTGTCACTTATTATCAGTCAAGAAGGCTTGAAACAGTACGAATGCCCAGTTTGATTATGTACTTTCTGTGTGTTGACCATAGCGGTTAATTTTCTTTCTCCCTCCTGAAAATAGATGCAGTCTTTTACCGCCTTGCATATTCTCACCAACTTTGTATGCGTTACGAGTTTGGCAGCGGTCGGCGGCATTCACTCCACTGTATTCTGTTGGTTGATGACAATAATGATGGCTCGTGTCAAGTCACTGCCAAATCTCGAGGACACTGCACAATGGAGTTATTCGTTATCCACTGATCTAGTTGAGATTCGAGCCCGAGCAGGTTGTTGAATGTCATTTCGGATAGATAAAGCGGGTGACCCGTTGAGTTGATTGCGGTTCGTAACCGTATTTTATTTACAGTTGATCCGGTGAATATAAAATATCGATACTCCTTAGCTTTAGTAGTTTGTATACTATTTTCGCCTATTCGTGCTTCATGAAGCATTTAATGAGCTAATAACATTTCCCGGATTGCTGTACTCAAAGTGCTGCCCGTTGGTTTCTTATCCATTTTGGTTGCATCTCTCCCCTTCCTACTGAAATTGTATTCGCTGATTGCATGGCCGTTTGGTGAACCAACCATCTTTCTAAAGTAGTGAGGATATGTAAAGAAATTCACAGGCAACTCGTTGGTCGTCCGACCGAATCATTCCCTCTCGTCTTTTTTCCCGCTCTCTTTTACCAACCTCTTAGCCTATCTGTTCTTTAAACTGGCATCCGAAAGGAGACTATTTACTCACACTTTCGCGTCCCGTATTGGCCAGTGCTGTCTGTTCCAAATCCACCGAACGTATCTATTTGCATCGATTGTCCAAAATGTCTAGTCAGGCGCCGTTCTCCGTTCCAAGTCGTGCGGTCGAGTGGCGTCAAGTCCAATTCCATCCGGGTGGTAAACCGCATGTATTTGTCGCTAGTCCGCGTGAGGTTCGAGTATACGACCTAGTTCAACAGAAGGAGTTGCGATGTTTGCGACTTGATGGAAGCGCGGATACTTTGAGCTGCATGACCGTGCATCCGTCCGGTAAGCTCCCCTCGCTTTGTGTTTGTGTTTATGTGTTAATTTCCAATTCAGATTAAAAGGTGCTCAAACTGACTAAGATATTTATTGATATGGTATGTTCATACTTCATCGCAGTGCTTGTTTAACGCGGTTCCCGACAGTTGCCATCATCTCAGCCGTAATTCATCATATTATGATTCGGGTATATGAGGAACTGATCTGCAATAACCTAAATCTGAGTGTAATCTAGGCGGGGAAGCGATTTACAGAGTCAAAGGATTGGGGCTTTCCACCTTTTCCCCTTTTTATTAATTCTCTGTACCCTCCAAAGAATGTTAGGCGGACTAGCAACCCGTGGTTTCTATTCCAATCCGGCTTCGAAAGCCGCTACAACCTGGATAACAGGGGAGGTGGATGGGTGGGTGCGGGTTGAGTAAGTCGTGACCGGCATCGGTTCGAGCTGCCATTCAAGTGTGGTTAGGCCATGGTGGTTGTAGGAAATGTTCCTAATGATGAGTCGTACCAGGTGTTCTATATAAAATGTGCTATGTAGCCAGGTTATTGCCTAACGGATCTAGTTTCGTAACTGTGTGCAGCGTTAGCTCCAGTGTCTACACAGTTCTTTAAAAATTGTTTGTAAGGCAGCTTTGTTGTCGCCCAGTAAGAGCTAGCGGTCGACCATTGAGTCATACGAACTTACTGTTCGGTTGTGGAGACCAGAAACCTAAATTATTAAGCAGTACTAAGCCTTAGTTAGGTTGGCAAAGTTTTCAGTTGGGAGACAGCGTAATTATCTATCATAAAAGCTGGGTGGCAGTTGTGAGTTTCAAACCTAGGACCTTCGATCCCGGAAGATACCAATCGCTTTACAGTCACCACTGAGGTTGCTCTCGTAATGAAACAATCAACGCTATCGGAGCAAAAAGACCCGGGAATCACGAAGAGTTAATTTGTATTTCCGAAGCCGCTAATCTGATACCTTAAAAAGTTTAAAAAGTCGAACCAGCAACAGAACTGTTATTTTCAATTGTACGGCAGTAGACTTGTGCACCATCTGCGTGCACTGTTGGTAGTGAGAATACAAAAACTCGCTCGAAAAAACCGATGCATTCCGCAGCTGTAATTCAAATCAATCCCTCAATCCTGTTTGAGTCATGGTGATATCTCACCTTGGTGTATAAACTTCCACGGAACATATATACTCGGACTACCATTCCTCGTGTTTTATGTCGTTTATTTCGATGTATACTCATAGCGTCGTCGTTCGAGACAATCGACGCAGTTTATCAAACAGTTTCACTGAGTCCACCGCAGATTGGTCTCCTCAGTTGAGCCAACATTATTCCCATGTTTGTTATCTGCGTACATTCGACCGCACATTGAGTATGCTAATCAAGACTGCAACGCGATCGCAATTTTTAGCGATATCCACAAACAATCTCCATCAAAATGGTCAAGGGACTGCTTTCCTATGTGCAAGTTTGCTATGAATGTGTTTGTACTGCACTCGGTATTGCCTAATTCGAGGAATATATAAGAATAAGGAAAATGTAAGAAATGCCCTCCGGTGGTCATCAAACCGCTTCACCCTCTCTTTCGCCCGGTTCAGGAGACTGAAACATGTCCCACCGATTGGAACACCTCGGTTTTCCTTCCGTTCACCCAAGAAGGGCGACAAGACACTATGCCAAAATTATCGAGGCAGCAGTCTGCTAGACGTGGCTGCAAAAGCGTTTGCCCAACCCCTGCTTAATCTTTTTGCTACAGTGAGGCATGCGCGTACTCGGCTAGATCAAGGAGGCAAAGGATATTTCGATCAGACTTTCATCCTTGGGCAGATTCTGGATCACCGATTCAAGTTACAGCACCCCACTGCAACATGTTTCATTGACTCGTGCTGCATTCGATTCAGTGGACCGCAAATCACTGTGAAAGATAATGCTTGCAGATAGCCTCCCTGCAAAGTTGGTTAGTATGGTGAGATTGTATTACACCCAAACCAAAGCCCGTTGCCGTGTTTACGGTGAAGAGTATCATCCTTTCGATCTGTGATCAGGAGTAAGACAAAGATGCCAGCTATCGCCAGTGTTATTCAACTTCGCTTTTGATTGGATTCTGAGTCGGGCAATGGAGGGTTACCAAAGCTTCGAAGTTTCCGCGGACTGCTGGGTTACTGACCTTGAATTCTCTGATGACGTGGTATTGCTTGAAGGGAACCTGACCGTCTTGCAAAAAGCTCTCAACCGTATCAAAAGATTTGTCTCTGAGATCGGCCTAACAAAACTAAGATGTTCACTCCAACTGATCAAGCGGAACATTCCCTGCAACTGGGTGGTCGGACAATAGAAATCGTATCAGACTTCAAGTATCTTGGGTCCTCCATCCTGCCCAATGGACAAGCCAAAGATGATATACAGAGGCGCATTGCCACGGCCCGAATGGACGTTTCTGTATCTCTAAACCACCCTATGGCGCCGAAACGANAAACGAGATCAGTCTAAAAACCTCACAGCAGTCCTACTATACGACTGTAAAAGCTGGCCACTGCGAGCTGAGGACATCGGACGACTGGAGGTCTTCGATCACTGGTGTTTTAGATTCATCCTGAAAGTAAACTGGCGGAACAGAGTCTCAAACTCGGCCTTCAGAGATCGTTGCCACATTGCCCGTCTTTCAACGCTGCCGACTACAATGGCCGGACCATGTTCTCCGCAGACCCAACGACACATTTACAAGTGTTGTTTTGGCGCCGTCACCTTGTCCTGGCTGGCACCGCCGGCAGACGGGGGTAAGTTAAAACCTGGCTGGATACTGTATTCGAAGACGTCGAACAACTTGGCCTTCGGATGGTGTACGGCACCCGCCGGTGGGAAACCAACTGGATCGACATTTGGAAGAATCTTGCAGCCAACCGCTAAGCATGGGTGGCGACACTCAGAACACTCATGGAGCTGGCTTATCCTCTCCAAAAAAACCAGCCGTAGTAAAGTAAATAACTCGAGGAAGCTTGATTTTTAGTGCATCAAATAATACAGAGCTCCAATCATCCACGTGTTCCACCGCTCACATTGTTACGCAGCAAAAGTTGATTGGAGTGCCGGTCTCATTCCATTGCTTTCAGGATGTACAATATTTAGAATTTTCTACGAGCGCACGTTGATTCCGTCCCCTACTTTCTTTACTTTACTGCGGCTGGCTCCTTGGAAAGAATAAACCGGCTCCAGACAAGATCATGGAGTTCCTTGGAATTTTGGTACGAAAGACTTCCTCAGTGTCACTTGGCGTTTTTTTATTTTGAGGACGCACTTTTATTCTTTGCACAACCAAGTACGAACTGCAAGACAGCGAGAAGTAATACCTCGCCTTGAAAGTCTGGGGGGTCAGTGACTTTAGTTTTAAAAGGTCAGTCACATCGACCTTTGTCACGACACCGTCACTGGGCTTATGCGGCTTTTAAACAGGAGCCAGATGACCAGCCTGAAACCCACCACAACTTAGTAGTGCCACCGCTGTTTGTTCTTGACTGCTTATTTGTTGCGGTATGCCACAACCTATTCACAGCTAACGCTCTTCGGTGAAGGTATCCCCCTACCCACAACCCGGGGACGCGTCTGAAAGCATTCTGCTCTGCTTAACCTGAGGGCATCCAGGAGCGTTCCCACAACCGATTCTTTCAAACAGATACTTTATAATTCATTGGCATGTCTTACAGGTCGACATTTATAGAACAGCAAAAGTTTAATATTTTTCATACGCGAGATCGTGAATCTCTCTGTGTCCTGAAAAACGATTCACCTGTCCCAAAACCCGAAACTTATAATCCTTTCCCATAATAGCAATTGAACTTGGTGTTTTTTCTGTACTTTATCCTCTCTTTCCATTTTCTACTGTGCAGGAGATCACATGGTTTCTGGGACATTTGACGGTCGGTTCCTCTGGTTTGACATCGATCTGGGCAACGTCCCTTATAAGAAACTGGGGTAAGTTATTCACGTTCAGTGCACAGTGCAATAAGTTTAATCGATATCCACGGGAATGTGATCAGTTGAATTCAGCTGCTTCTTAACTTCCATGAACGGAGCTATTCGAGAAATGGTGACCAAGGCTGATTTAATTTTTTATTCAGGTGGTCCCGGGGCGGAAACAACTTTAAAAGGTTGGTGATTTGTTAATTAAGTGGTACAAGTCATTGCCACTAGCATGCAGCACTTCAGAAACTGTTTTACAGTTAGTCACGGAAATGTGGCAAGAAATCTCGACCCCGTCACCATTTGTTATTTTTGTTTGCGAGTACACTTCTATTCTTTTCACTTCCGATTGTTAGCTATACGAAGCGTTCCAACAACTCTTAACTTGGTTTATTCCTCCTCGTCAGCGGTTTACTGAAGCCCGCCTGCAGGTATAAACTGAATGTCAGGTGAAGACCGAAAACTGAGGAAAGGTCCCCGGCGGACACAATAGTCCTACCATTAGAGTTGATACTTCTCTTTAACAAACCATTATCGAGCGAACCCCATACAGTTTAACGTGGATAGCCTAGGCCTGTATTGGTTCTCGTCACCAACTCTATTGCAGAGAAAATTGACATCCAAGATATTCAGGAAGTCGACTGAAGACCTACCACTATNAAGCCACTCCGCCACTCCAAGTTCTGGGGCTTAGGTTGCCGGTTTCCATCGCTCATGAGCAGGTCTTTGTGACAATGGGGTTCGCCCAGTCTACTGTTCATCACACAAATGTGTGTAATAAAAAAGGTTAAGGTAAGGCAAACCCACCATGCCCTGGGTGATGGCAAGTTTCTTTTTAATTCAATCCGTTATTCCACAGAACGTTATCTGGTTCATCACTCTTCATTCCGTGTATGACTTGATACAATTTCGTAAAATGACATCGCATCAGCCTATGGTCACTCGTGGTCTCCTATTCCCCCCCCCGCCTCTCAAACTCACACGATGCAGACTTGGTCATGGAGCCGTGCGTCAATTGGATATTCACCGCAGTCGTCCGTTGGTATCTGTTGCTCTCGATGATGGCACTGTGCTTATTGTTCACGCCACTGTCTCTGAGTGAGTTTCCTTTTGCTGTCGTTGTTGTTTTCGATTTCCGCATCCGCAACGTCCAAGCTCTTATGCAGGACCTGGCGAATCCGAACTGGAGGTATAAAACGAGTGCGTTGTTTCGAATGTGCTTTCGAGCGAGAGTTCTGAACACAACTGTGTCGTATGGGGTTGATTGCAGTACAGGTGCATTTAAGTTCATTGTGAACCTGAGGAGGGGCACGTTGTGGTTGATTTAAATGGATCAAGCTCCTGTCATCCGGAAACAGACGGTGGTTTCATCACAAGACTATCCAAATGACAAGAATCTGGGCCAAAACAGCAACTGGTTCAAAAACAGCTGGTTTGTGTGAGCATTCACATACGTGGTCGCATTACCTCATGGTTTTGTCAAACCCAGCGATCCAAAAGCACGGAATCTGTTTGCTCGATTGATGATATCGATTGTTTGATTATTGCGTTCAAATCAACGTTGTCGATAATTTGATTTAATTGCTCTATCGTTAACCACAAGCATGACAAACTGTCCCATGTTCACATGTGGTCGCTTTGCCAAATCGCTAAAAGGACTATGTGTGTATGAGTACTTCATTCCGGTTCTGAATGTATACACAATAGGTATCACCCTGGAAGGTTATGCTGTTTGCGATAGAAGTAGTCCTTGAATTGTACGCATGGATGAAAGCCACTATGCATTTGTCTTAGCGACACTTTCTCTGGCTTCACTGCACACTAGCAACCGTAGATGCATTGTGAGAGGAAAAGGGCGATTCATGGATTGAGTTTCATGTACTATGGATTGTTCTTCAACTTGGGCACCCAAGTTAGAGTTAAAAGTAGAATAAAGCCCGATCCTTCGCAGGATAATTTGACCCACATATCACTGAAGTGTTCCCTCCGGTCCGTGATCCTTTCTGTGCCAGTGTCTTATCTGTCGAATCATACGCCTATCCGACCGGGCTCCTACATCCGGAATGTCCTATACACCATTAATCGAGCCGGTTCCCGTACATTCAAAAGTCCTGGAGGCACTTTATGCCTTCTGTCACTGACAAGTTAGATTAGTTGCAGACTAAAAGGGTGGATTTCGTTTCACTCACTTTATTGTAAACATCGCCACCAGGAGAAAGCAACCTTTAGTCGAATTATCAATACGGGTTTATCGAAACACCTACCAACCACCGAAGGTCGTTCCGGGGCAAATGTTGTACACACGATAAATTCGTATACTCATAGGAACTTTTTCTGCGGGGATTGTGATTGGGAAGTTTGCTGATCTAAAGCTCACGAGGCCAAGAAAACGAGAGTGATTACCAATACAAGTGCCCGATCATCCCAGATGTTCATGTATTCTTTGTCTGGTTAGTGCAGTCCCAACGAAACTTCAGTGCAATTCACACTTCAAGCATAAGACTTAAACCTGTCAAACAGCATAATTGAACAATAAACCCTACCTTGGAATTCCGTCCATTCGGTGGATTCTGGTAAAGCCTAAGGGAAACCCATTTGGCAGTCAGCTTACATGCTACCTGGTAGATTCAATATGCCTCTGTAAAATGGATGGGTCATCCAAATTTGTAGCTCAGCGGGTAGAGCATGCACTGTACAAAAACATAGGTGGCGTCCACTGGTATGTTTAAATCTCATCGTGACTACTGAGCTTTTTATAATTAAACCATGTTATAGGTGTGCTATCGTTATGGAGATAAAGACAAATGTGCGAAGATTGATGTATAAATGCGCCACACACCATTTTCTGGTCCCTCTTTGATGTAAAGTTCTTTCTTCTCAATGTATTGCGACACTATTAACTTCTTTTTCTCCCCCTCCCTCCCCCACGCACATCTTAGCGATTTGCTGTCCAAACCAGCCATCATTCCGGTGAATTTGATCCGCACAGGACAACCAAGTACTGCATCCTCTGTCCTGGCCACCGCGTTTCATCCGCGCCAACCACACGTGTATACCGGTGGTGCGGATGGCAGCGTGCGACAATTTGTTGCCTGGCGCTAGGCTGCTGCCGGTTGGTTGAGGCATTTTGCGCTACTTCCAATCAGGGGCACGATTATGATAATGGCAATACAAGTTTCCGAGTCTCGTGTGACTTAGATTTCTTATCTTAGCGCGTTGGGATTTTTCCTGAACGTTACCATAAGCCGGGTACATCAATCGACTAGCTTAGTTCGTTGTTCTAGGTTCGAACCCCATCACATTCACTCCATTCCAGTGTTAGATGGTTCTGCTTTGTTTCAGGATCGTTACATGATTCATTAAGAATAAACCGTTCTGTCACAGCAACTGTTTATTAGTTCTATGTGCTCATGAAACTTACCCTTCCTGTGATGTAGTCTAGAAATGTGTTGTGCAATAATTATGTTTCGCAGAATTTGAAAATACGAAGGAAAACCACAAATTGTGCCCGGTTTCTCCACATTTCACTCTAACTCACTGCTGACAGCTCTGCAACATTCGGACTTTCATATATTTTCAGGTACCCTGCAATAAACTGTGCGGATTGTAGCCATAGAAAGTGCATTCCATCTACCCCTTTTTGTCTGAGCCTTTTGAGTCTCTCGCCTGATCGGCATGGAGTTCAACTTGGCTTGTTCACGAAACGAACTTGTCCATTCTCCCCGGATGCATACACATACTACTTCTGTTATAGTTCCAGAAGAATGGTGCTGCCTTGAGGAGCATATTTATTACGAACCAGCGTTAGGGTACGGATAATTTAATGAACATATGTAAAGATATCTCATTTGGAACATATCATCGCAATTTCCGGCAGCACACAGGATAATGGATGAACAGACCTTAATTATCATTTCGAGCATAAAAATTCGCTGTAAGAAGTCTTGTTCATTTTTGACCGTTGAAAGAAACAACCAACCCCATCCGTTTGCGTACTACTCACAAACGTGAGTAGTATCCCATAATAATAGCCTAACCTCGAGGCTGCTCCAATGATTTCGTTTTTTTCAGCTTCGCCTCTCTGTCACAAGTCGGTTCTTCGAGAATCGAACCAGTGTACTTTTCTAGATGCACACCACGAAAACGGTCATTAAATATCGAAACTTGTTTGCTTATAGAGCCAGTCTAACTAATGAAATCATTTGCATAAAATATGCTAAACCCTTCTTGACCAAGCACGCGAAAATATTGATTTAGAATAATGAACAAGCTATGAGATAACATCCATCACTCTGCTTATCGAGGCCAGCGGACGAGGTGTGTAATCTGACTATTGCGGCAAATTTTCCTTGTCATTAACCAGGGTTCACTAGAAGAATTCTGCAGCACGGGATTACAATCATAGTCGGAATAACCCTATGATAATAGTGTGCTAAGGACCGACGTGGGTAGCCTTTTAAAGCTAATTAATTGAGTGTTCCCGCGTAGATCGAGTCTCTAGATATGTGATAACGAAGACATATTTGTGCTTGACATCAGATCAAACATCTGACTGACAGGGTAATGGGGTGTAAACCGAATACGGATGACTGAAGTACCCTTGTGGGATCTTCTACGTACCTGTTGTAAAGGTGTCAGCATAATCCCTGAAACCTGCGATCACCTAACTCAGGAAAACTGACAACCAATCCTATTTATGTGCATTCCCGTATCCTCCCTCGTCTCTATAAATAATCATGATTTCTGCACAAAACATGAGTTCTTACACGCTTTCCAGCTGTTTCATTTCACTGCCTGTGCAGTGGATATCTGGACGAGAATCGCTATCGAAATGCGTTCTGTTCAATCCGTTATCGAAATTAACCGCTAAATCCCGTCACGTCAGACCGTGTTTTGTACAGCGGTTGTCGATTCGACGTTCCGGATTAGCTCAGTGCTGTACATAACGTGGACAGGGCAGCGCCTTATCAGCCGTGTGCTGTCCAACTTGAGCGGCAAGGATCCAGTGAAGTTCGAAGACCTCTCATTTTCTAAAGGAAGCCACAAGTTCCTCGCTTCTCATCGAACGGAGTTTATTCAATTGACGAGCTACTCCTCCTTGTTTATTTACTGTAGTGATCTATCCAGAGGCAAGAATGGATGACCCAAAGAAACCCTATATAATTTTGACGGTTTTACGCATACTTTTCAGAAAGGGACCAATGCGCGAAAATCATCGGCACAAACGCTGTAAGTGAATCTGCAGGCAAAAATTGTGACCCGTTACGCAGAGTGGCTCACAGTGACACCACGCCAATCTGAGACAGCAACATCCTAGCAACGCTTGGGCATGAAAGCGGACACCCCCAACCAGGCATCCGACTTATAGCCTCCCACCCTCCTTACTGTCCAAGTTCCAACGTGTATCGTTTACCGGGTACACTTTGATTCAGTGTCTATCTTTCTCCCCTGTTGGGTGGGCATGACGCACGTCCCACCAGTTGGGGAACACGTGACACTGCGATAGTCGCCAATTCATAGCATTACGCCTGAGCCCGTCATTAAAGAAAGGGATAACATTGCGGGTTCCTCTTCAGGCACGGTAAACCAGTAAGCAAAGTGTCAGACTGGATTCCTACTCCACCGGTCGATTGACTGTGATCGTATCGCTTGCTTCGGCGTTCACTCAACAGGCAGCTCCCAGTCACAGGGAACCCAACCCACCGAGCCGTATAATTCCACTGACTATTTGTCGGCCA